GCAACTGAATCACGCCGACCACGCAGTGAAAATTGATAAGACTTTCTTACCAAGGCAAAAAAAAAAAAAAAAAAATAGGGGGGTGGAAGATACAAGTACATCAGAGGTGAGAAGCAAAAATTGCCTGGAAGATATTGAAGAACAATGATGAAGATGCACTGAAATTAGTATATCAGGAAGCTTACAACTACTGGAGAGACCAAACTGGCCTACAAGAAAGACAAAATGAAGAACAGAATAGAGGCATGGGAAGACAAAGCACTATATGGCCAATACATGAAAAAAATAGCTGGGAAAGCAGATAACAATAAAACCTGGCAATGGATAAGAGCAGGAAAATTGAAGAAAGAGACCGAGGGACTAATTCTGGCTGCACAAGACCAAGCCTTAAGGACAAATGCATACAAAGTAAAAATTGAGAAGACAGCAACAGACAGTAAGTGCCGCCTATGCAAAGAAGCTGAAGAAACAGTGGACCACTTGGTAAGCTGTTGCAAGAAGATTGCACAGACTGATTACAAGAAGCGAGCATGACAAAGTAGCAACAATGGTGCATTGGAGATCTGCAAAAAATATCATTTGCCTGTAAGCAAAAACTGGTGGGATCATAAAATAGAGAAAGTCATAGAAAATGATAAAATTAAACTGCTCTGGGACTTCAGACAAGCACCTGCAACATAACACCCCAGATTTAACAATTGTCGATAAGAAAGACAAAAAAAGTCTGGATAGTGGACGTGGCAGTGCCTGGAGACAGCAGAATAGACAAAAAAAAACTGGAGAAGATAACAAAATACAAAGACCTACAAATAGAAATAGAAAGACTGTGGCAAAAGCAAGCAAGGGTAGTACCAATAGTAATAGGCTCCTTGGGCGCAATCTCAAAACAACTGGAGCACCACTTGAACACCATTGGCATTGACAAATTTGTTATTAGTCAATTGCAAAAGGCGGCCTTATTAGGAACTGCTTCCATCCTGCGACGATACCTGTAATACCATCAAACATCCACATCTGCCTATCCCAGGTCCTGGGTAAGGACTCGATAGGTAGACAAAATGCCAAATCCAGTCTGAACATCTGGCTGATTGTGCGATAATCCATAATAATAATAATGGCTGTGGCAGTGCTTGGAGATAGCAGAATAGAAGAGAAAGAACTGGAGAAGATAACAAAATACAAAGACCTACAAATAGAAATAGAAAGACTGTGGCAAAAGCAAGCAAGGGTAGTACCAATAGTCATAGGCTCCTTGGGCGCAATCCCAAAACAACTGGAGCACCACTTGAACACCATTGGCATTGACAAATTTGCTATTAGTCAATTGCAAAAGGCGGCCTTATTAGGAACTGATTCCATCCTGCGACGATACCTGTAATACCATCAAACATCCACATCTGCCTATCCCAGGTCCTGGGTAAGGACTCGATAGGTAGACAAAATGCCAAATCCAGTCTGAACATCTGGCTGACTGTGCAATGATCCATAATAACAATAATAATAATAATAATAATAATATAGAAAATGATAAAATTAAACTGCTCTGGGACTTCAGAATTCAAACAGACAAGCACCTGCAACATAACACCTCAGACTTAACAATTGATGATAAGAAAGACAAAAAAGTCTGGATAGTGGACGTGGCAGTGTCTGGAGACAGCAGAACAGACGAGAAAGAACTGGAGAAGATAACAAAATACAAAGACATACAAATAGAAATAGAAAGACTGTGGCAAAAGCAAGCAAGGGTAGTACCAATAGTCATAGGCTCCTTGGGTGCAATCCAAAAACAACTGGAGCACCACTTGAACACCATTGGCATTGACAAATTCGCTATTAGTCAATTGCAAAAGGCGGCCTTACTAGGAACTGCTTCCATCCTGCGACGATATCTGTAATACCATCAAACATCCACATCTGCCTATCCCAGGTCCTGGGTAAGGACTTGATAGGTAGACAAAATGCCAAATCCAGTCTGAACATCTGGCTGACTGTGCAATGATCCATATAACAATAAATAATACTAATAATAATAATATAGAAAATGATAAAATTAAACTGCTCTGGGACTTCAGAATTCAAACAGACAAGCACCTGCAACATAACACCCCAGACTTAACAATTGTCGATAAGAAAGACAAAAAAGTCTGGATAGTGGACGTGGCAGTGTCTGGAGACAGCAGAATAGACGAGAAAGAACTGGAGAAGATAACAAAATACAAAGACCTACAAATAGAAATAGAAAGACTGTGGCAAAAGCAAGCAAGGGTAGTACCAATAGTCATAGGCTCCTTGGGTGCAATCCCAAAACAACTGGAGCACCACTTGAACACCATTGGCATTGACAAATTTGCTATTAGTCAATTGCAAAAGGCGGCCTTATTAGGAACTGCTTCCATCCTGCGACGATACCTGTAATACCATCAAACATCCACATCTGCCTATCCCAGGTCCTGGGTAAGGACTCGATAGGTAGACAAAATGCCAAATCCAGTCTGAACATCTGGCTGATTGTGCGATAATCCATAATAATAATAATGGCTGTGGCAGTGCTTGGAGATAGCAGAATAGAAGAGAAAGAACTGGAGAAGATAACAAATACAAAGACCTACAAATAGAAATAGAAAGACTGTGGCAAAAGCAAGCAAGGGTTAGTACAATAGTAATAGGCTCCTTGGGTGCAATCCCAAAACAACTGGAACACCACTTGAACACCATTGGCATTGACAAATTCGCTATTAGTCAATTGCAAAAGGCAGCCTTATTAGGAACTGCTTCCATCCTGAGACGATATCTGTAATACCATCAAACATCCACATCTGCCTATCCCAGGTCCTGGGTAAGGACTCGATAGGTAGACAAAATGCCAAATCAGTCTGAACATCTGGCTGACTGTGCGATGATCAATAATAATAATAATAATAATAATAATAATAATAATAATAATAATAATAATAATATAATAATAATAATAATACATGAAAAAAATAGCTGGGGAAAGCAGATAATAATAAAACCTGGCAATGGCTAAGAGCAGGAAAATTGAAGAAAGAGACCGAGGGACTAATTCTGGCTGCACAAGACCAAGCCTTAAGGACAAATGCATACAAAGTCAAAAATGAGAAGACAGCAACAGACAGTAAGTGCCGCCTATGCAAAGAAGCTGAAGAAACAGTGGACCACTTGGTAAGCTGTTGCAAGAAGATTGCACAAACTGATTACAAGCAACGGCATGACAAAGTAGCAACAATGGTGCATTGGAAGATCTGCAAAAAATATCATTTGCCTGTAAGCAAAAACTGGTGGGATCATAAAATAGAGAAAGTCATAGAAAATGATAAAAATAAACTGCTCTGGGACTTCAGAATTCAAACAGACAAGCACCTGCAACATAACACCCCAGACTTAACAATTGTCGATAAGAAAGACAAAAAAGTCTGGATAGTGGACGTGGCAGTGCCTGGAGATAGCAGAATAGAAGAGAAAGAAATGAACTTGGAGAAGATAACAAAATACAAATGACCTACAAATAGAAATAGAAAGACTGTGGCAAAAGCAGCAAGGGTAGTACCAATAGTAATAGGCTCCTTGGGTACAATCCCAAAACAACTGGAGCACCACGTGAACACCATTGGCATTGACAAATTTGCTATTAGTCAATTGCAAAAGGCGGCCTTATTAGGAACTGCTTCCATCCTGCGACGATACCTGTAATACCATCAAACATCCACATCTGCCTATCCCAGGTCCTGGGTAAGGACTCGATAGGTAGACAAAATACCAAATCCAGTCTGAACATCTGGCTGACTGTGCGATGATTGAGAATAATAATAATATAGAAAATGATAAAATTAAACTGCTCTGGGACTTCAGAATTCAAACAGACAAGCACCTGCAACATAACACCTCAGACTTAACAATTGATGATAAGAAAGACAAAAAAGTCTGGATAGTGGACGTGGCAGTGTCTGGAGACAGCAGAACAGACGAGAAAGAACTGGAGAAGATAACAAAATACAAAGACATACAAATAGAAATAGAAAGACTGTGGCAAAAGCAAGCAAGGGTAGTACCAATAGTCATAGGCTCCTTGGGTGCAATCCCAAAACAACTGGAGCACCACTTGAACACCATTGGCATTGACAAATTCGCTATTAGTCAATTGCAAAAGGCGTCCTTATTAGGAACTGCTTCCATCCTGCGACGATATCTGTAATACCATCAAACATCCACATCTGCCTATCCCAGGTCCTGGGTAAGGACCCGATAGGTAGACAAAATGCCAAATCCAGTCTGAACATCTGGCTGACTGTGCGATGATTGATAATAATAAAAAGTTGGAAGGGACCTTGGAGGTCATCAAGTCCAATCCCCTGCTCAGGCAGGTAATCCTATACCATTTTGGACAAATGGCTATCCAGTCTCTTCTTAAAAATTTCCAGTGTTGGAGAATTCACTGCTTCTGGAGGCAGGTTGTTCCACTGGTTAATTGTTCTAACTGTCAGGAAGTTTTTCCTTAGTTCTAGGTTGCTTCTCTCCTTGATTAGTTTCCACCCATTGCTTCTTGTCCTGCCCTCAGGTGCTTTGGAAAATAGCTTGACTCCCTCTTCTTTGTGGCAGCCCCTGAGATATTGGAAGACTGCTATCATGTCCCCCTTCTTCCTTCTCTTCATTAAACTAGACATATCCAGTTCCAGCAACCGTTCCTTATATGTTTTAGCCTCCAGTCCCCTGATCATCTTGGTTGCTCTTCTCTGTACTCTTTCTAGAGTCTCAGCAGCATTTTTACATCGGGGTGACCAAAACTGGATGCAGTATTCCAAGTGTGGCCTTACCAAGGCATTGTAAAGTGGCATTAACACTTCATGTGATCTTGATTCTATCCCTCTGTTAATGCAGCCCAGCACTGTGTTGGCTTTTTTGGCAGCTGCAGCACACGGCTGGCTCATATTTAAGTGATTGCCCATTAGGACTCCAAGATCCCTCTCACAGTTACTACT